TGGGACTAGCCACGGCAAGAAGAGTAGCTACCAAGCAATCCACATTTACTTTTCTCTCTTCACTTCATTACCTTGGACTAGCTGGAGCAAGATAAGCAGCTACCATGCAATCCACATTTGTGTCTTCCGAAGAAGAATTATTTTTAGTGGTTTTTCTTGTCTTAATAACTAAATTCAAATAACGGGGAAAATAGATGGTATATTGGCTTGAGGTAATGCTTATCAATGTTGGCTTATAATCTCTGTGAATCAAGGAACCCCTTTGTAGAATATGCAGTGCAATATGCTGTAGCTGCAGCCCTTGCGACATTGGAAAAGGATAAGAAGGATTTGTTACACAAACTACTTTTACAAGGTAATGTTTGATGCTTCATCTTTCTTATTAAAATTAAGTAATTGTAAATATCTAATGTCTCAACTGGATTATTCATGCAGGTCTTGACATTACAATCTTAGGTTGCAATGACTTCTATTCATATTGGAATCAGGTATTGTACCTTTCCTATTGTACTTTTAAAATCTTTTACTTATTTTATCTTTAGTGGTGTTTATTTGCTCATATTTTTTTCCTATCATGTTCTTTCTCTTTTACTACAATTGAAACATCTACTATAATGATTATGCTTTCTGAGCTACTAGAATGAAAGTGATTTTTTGGATCATCTTATCTATATCATTAATGTATTGTTACAAATTTGCACGTTGTTATACTTGAGATGTTTCCATATGCCAATGTTGAGAGCAAGCCAAAGTTTAACGGATTGAAGTAAGTTTTCAATGCTTCTAGGTGGGGTTTATCATGTGAGATTGGAAAAGGGAAAGTTGGCAGTGGTTTTGATGTTAGTTCTGCAGTTTATGGTAGTCAACGATATGTTCACTTTTCACCAGAAGTGCTTTCTTCTGCTCAGGTTTCTCTTTCTCTCCCTCTCTCTTTCTCTCTCTATATATGCAATTATATTTTGTCCTCGTAAAGTATTATTGAATTCTTACCTTGCCCTTAAAGTTTATTTTTCCCAATTTGGTCTCTAAACTATATGATCATTCCCAATTTGGCTCAATTCCCAACTACCGTCCAAATTATTGACATAAATTTGCACGTGGCACTCTTTGGCCCTACATGGCATATTAAATAACCATTCATTTTGGTACATGTATGATAGCATTAGTGTTACACTTTGGCATTACAATTCATCAATGATCACTGATCAAAACATAGCATGAAAACATTCAACTTGTCAGATATCAAGGGCTCTGTGGCAGAGCTTATGATGGGAATGAGCTGAGAACATGAAAAACAAAAGAAGGTTAGGAAGTTATAGAAGACTGTTCTTGACAGTAGTGCCCTTTTGGGGACAACATTGTAACGAGGGTACTTAATTAGGTGTATCTTTCTACAAAGGACTTAGCTTGGGAGGCTAGAGGCGGCATAGTTTTGTCGTTTTACTTTTGATGTATTACATGTAATTTCAAGCCAAGGGCTTAATGTGTAAACGAGTTAGAACTCTTTGTTGTAACCAAGTGTTAACTTGGAAAGCTGTAAGCCCGTAGGGCATTTTGTTATGAGGTGAACATCTAATATTTATTTAACGGAACTCTAATGAATATAAGAGTGTGGTTAATTTATATGTAAATGCATGTTTTATCTGATGGGTTTATTGTTATTATTTTGAGGGCGTTACATCCTAGCTCTCCGGGTAATTTTCTAAAATATTTATTTCCTATTTCTTCATCAAAACTTTTTCCAGTTCTAGCTGCCATGGCTAAGTATTCTTTACTAAAGGGTACAATATATTTCCAACTTCCGAATATTATCTGATCTAACTCAGTTAATGCTATTCTTTGAGTATAATCATTTTTTCTAGAAGGGTCATATCCTATAAGTATTTCTTTTATAAAACTAGTAAAATTTCATGGGTTATCTCCTAGTCCTTTAAGCTGTCTAATTGTCTCCTCATATTTTCCTTTAAACGTTAAATATATATTAAAAGCTGAATCTCGTAAAAGTGTTTCCATATATTCCCAAATATCAGTTGATTCAAAGGGATTACTCATCCATGCTTTTACCGCATCTTTTTCCTATTTTTCTATTACTTTTTGCCATATCTGAGGATCGAATTTGGCTAAATCTAAAAGGGTTCCTTGGTTATTGACTGGCTGTAATTGTATACTCATATCTGGTTGTCTACGTTTTCCATGAAATCTATAACTTTTATTTGGGTCTACCTTACTATGCCATGAACTAGCTAATGGTCTTCTTCCTCCTACTGCATAATGCATTGGTTCTACGGGATCTTCAATTATTGGTTGTGAGTTACTAGTTCCTGTGCTTTCTGTGTTCATATAAAAAATATCTTCTAAATTAGATTGTTTTGGTATTCTAAATATCTTGCTAGGATGTATTTTATCTTCTATGATGTCGTCCACATATTCTGTATGAAATTCTTGATCTAAGAATGACACTGCTTCATCATGAGTATCTCCTCTAGCTAAATATTCATAGTATCTAGTAGCTAGTATTTTATTCATCTTCCTTAGGGTGAAATTTTCTAAATCTAACTTATCAATATTATATATCTTATTTGGTGATATGGTTTTTTCCTCTATCATTACATAAAGCTGATTTATGTCACTATGATTATCTTGATTTTCTTCCCTATCTATACTGCTAAATTCATCATCTTCATATTTTTCTGGTGCTACATACATATATTGAGTAAATCTTACTGCATAGCTTCCATCTGCTTTTTGATACAATAAATTATCTTGAGGGGCTAACTTTTTTTGTCCTAGAAAATCTCCTAAATTCCAATCTAGTGTTGCATTTTCTTCAGAACTAAATTTTTTAGCTGGTAGTGCCTTTATTCCTTTGCGCCTAATAGCTTAACTATCTGATCATTTGTAAGTCTATAATGAGTATTACTTTCTGAGACTACTATGCCTAAAATTTCGGTGCAGACTAATAAATTCTTTTCTCCCCTTTTCATTTTGTATCCTTTACTTTTTATTCCTATTTTTATCTTTTCATGAAAGGTCAAGGTTGGTAATAGGAAATCTGGTGTAAAATAGACTATTCCTCCTTTTGAATTTATATCTAATTCATAGCTGCCTTAAATACTTTGTCCTACATCATTAAACCTATCATCATAAAGACATATAAAAACTTTAGTTCCTAAATTTTCTCTAGTTAAAGCCTTAACTCCTGCCACAATTAATCCTAAGTGAATCATTTTGAGGTGTTCATTTACTGCATATTTATAGCTTTCTATATCTATTAAGTTTAGCTGTATTTTTTCATCTTCATGGGTTACACTAATCATTTGTTCACCGTAGTGTTTAAATAGATATTGTTTTTTATGAACCTTACCTAGCTTATATACATATTTAGCTGGAATTAATTCTAGTTTTTCTTTCTTAAATTTTTCTATTTTTTGTTCTGCATCTATAAATTCTTCCATTTTAATATCTTCATATTCATTATGCTTTTTACTGCTACTTCCTTTTACTAACTGTTTAAACATTTTTATTTTCTGTAAGTTCCACAGGCAAGTTTCTTTGGTAATTTAAGCTTTTTAAAATATCTAGCTATATCTTCTTGGTTTATCTGGGATTGAGGTTTGTTTGTTTGTCCTTCTACTCCTTTTCCTTTTTGAAGTATTATTCTTTCTAAAGAGGCTAAACGATTTTCTACATTGTGTAATTGTTTCGATAGTTCTTCAAAATTTTCACACAATATGATTAGAAATAATATTTCTATATTATTGTCTTACTGATATTTTATCTGACTGATTTATTCCTTGATAGCTACTGATTCCTTCTGGGTTATTATGAAAGTCTTCTGCTTGTTTTAAAATAATCTGGTAGTCCCTACTAGCCTTTTTTTTTTTTTTTTATCACTACTCATAAACTAAGATCTTATTAGTTGTTCTAAAATTTCTAATTTCTGTTTTAAATTATCTTGAATTTGGTTGATTTGTTCTATTTGTTTAGCTATTTGATTTATCTGGCTATGAATTTTTTCAATTAGTTGTTTTAATTCTAACTCTATTTGTTTTGAGCTGCTAGTATTTATAGTTGAAATTAGAGTGTTTCTATTTCTAGCTTAGTGGGAAATTTTTCTAAATTTAAATCTGTTCATTTTTGTAAAATTGAACTACATTGGTCTTGGATATAAACTAATTTTTTATCTTGATCTTTAATTATACTGCGAGTATTACGAAGATGGTCTATGGATAAAGTAAAGAGATTACTAATTTTATCTACGTCCTTTTTAATATTTTTTGTAAAATTAATCTGATAATTTATGATACTATTTAGCTGAGAATTATGTTCACTATGGAGCTGATGTGTAAAAGTACCTTTAAAATTACAACGAAATTTATTTTTATTTATGTTAAAACGATGGTTATAATTGCTGAGTTCTAAATCTAAATATTCTACTTTTTTCATACACAAAATTGAATCCTACTTTAAAATTATTAAAAGCTACTATAATATGAAATTTATAACTAAATTGTCCAAAAATAAAAACTACTCTATTTCCATAAGCAAAATGCATAAACTAGCTTAAACTGTCCTAAAACCGAACACTGCTCTGATACCAATTTTTAGGGTGGAGTTAGTGGTCTACCACTATTTTGAAATTGGACTGAGAATTATCTAATTAATTCTATAGTTATGCTAATAAGTCTTCAAGCTGTTGTATTGCAAAGCTTCTTATTTTACCATTATCTATCTATTTATCTGAGAAATTTTCAAATTATAATTTTCTAGAGATCTACCAGAAGCTAATGATAATAGAAATTGATACCTTAATTTTTGATCTTCTAATTCTTGTATAAGTTCAGTACTTATAGCGATCCCGGGTTTACCCTTGTTGTACAGTGATCCGGACATGTGTCCGTGGATGTTGGTAGTGGGTTATTATCTAGCTTGCATTCTTTCTACTTTGTATATTGAGTTATAGGATGTGTTGGGCAGGTTTGTTTCAGGTTGGTTGTGTTTGGGAGCCTAGTGTTGCTGCCCAGATTTTTTGGACCTTCGCTCGAGCGAGGAGTTGGTCGCTCGAGCAAGAGTTGAATTCGTGTCTGGTGGGTCGAGCCAGAGTGGCTTCGCTCGAGCGAGCGATGGCGTCTGGTTCTGGACCTGAGAGTTGTATTTCTTGGCTCGAGCGAGCTTTTCTTGGCTCGAGCGGTGTGGTTTGTTCTTCGCTCGAGCGAGAGGTCTGTCGCTCGAGCGTGCTTCTAGTTGCAGACCTGAGGGTTTGAGTTGTTGGCTCGAGCGAGCATTCTTTCGCTCGAGCGCACTTTTGAGTTTTTGGCTCGAGCGAGAGCTTCTTGGCTTGAGCGAGAGTTTTCTGTGTCTGGTCGCTCGAGCGACCAAGTCTTCGCTCGAGCGAGCGTGTTTTATATCAGCGGACAGTAGCGTTTTTGAACATCACTTTTTCACTTTATTTTTCTTTCAAGCCCTTGATCCGAGACACACTCTCTTTAAACTTACACTCTCTCTAAGAATTGATCTCCCTAGAGTGTGAATCTAGCCTAGGGCCTTTGTTAAAAAGGTAGAGGGTGTTGAGAGCTTTGTTTTAATCTGAAAAAGTTTGGATTTTGAGCACGTTGATCTTCGAGTCTTCATCTCCTTTTTGGCTCAAACTTCGAGGTAGGGATATCCTACTCCTCTCTATGGATTTTGTCTTTAAATTTTGGTATTTTGAGATGTTGGGGTTGGTTTGGTAATTTTGTGAAAGTTTGGGGCTTTTGTGTAATTTTACAAAAGTTGGGGTTTTATTCATAATAAACCTAGATGCATGATTGGAATAGAGAAATGGAATAAATGTTGAATCATTGATGAAAATGGGACCTAAGGGTTGAAATGCCAATTATGGATAATAACCTAATTACATTGTTTGATTAATTGGGATAATTAATTGTGAGAAATGAGGAAATGAAATGTTGATTGAATATCCATTGTGCATTTATTTTCTGTTTAGAAATAACTGAAAACTCAATAGACACAAGTAGATAGAGAATAAAAAAAACACACACAAACACACACACACACACACGCAAAAATCTTTGGCAAGGATTAATCATTAACAAATTAAACAAAAAGAAGTGC